GTTTCTGCCACATAATGGGACAGGTGACTCACCCTCAGCACAGACAGGCTTTTTCAAATCATATTTTCGATTGGATTATCAGCTACTGAGCAAAGTTGCAAACACTGAGCAGATTTATTTTTTAAACTGTGCTGTTTGAGTTGTGGAAAGTTAGACCTTAGGGCCCTTTGATGACTAAGGTACCACTGTCATGGATACCTGCTGAGCAAAAGAACTACAAAATTAAGGGAAGGAGGGAAATGATTTTAAAAAGATAAACTAAACAAACTTTTGTAAATGGGGAGGGGAAGAGGTGCTGAAGGGAGGAGAGAAGATTGGTGGGGAGAGGAATCAAAATACAGCATGTACGGGTACAAATTCCCTAAGATGAATATGATCATTATATATATCTAAAATGTTACCAATAAACTTATTTTTTAAAAAATTACAAAACACAATGTTTCTGGCAACACCAAGTAAAAAGTACATTAGGAGGAGAGTATTCATTTTATCAGTTTAGACTTTTTTTTAGATTTATATTAATTGAATCTTATATATTCTTTGGTTAGGATTTCTTTGATCAACATAATGTTGAAATCCATCAGTGTTGTTTGTTTCACGGATCATGAATGAGTTCACTCATTCATTGCTCAGTAGTGCACCTATGTAACAGCAATGTGTAGATACACGCATACACACATTTATTAATTTATTAATCATATGATGAAAGTGGATGAGAGATCCAGACTGAGAAGAATTTATGGAATAAATTCCAGCCTGAGTCCAAAGACCCATGAAGCAGAAGTAATGGAGTAAATCCAAGTCCAAGTCCAAAGCATGAGGAGACCAATGCCTCAGAATACAGACAGGGAGAGACAAAATTCCCCTTAGTCAGTCTTTTATTCTGAATGGCCTACCGTAGACTAGAAGAAGCTCATTCAAACTAGGGAGGGAAATCCATCTTAATTAATTTTCTGATGGTTGGGGATTTAGCTCAGCAGCATAAGACCCTGCCTTGCAAGCGCATGGTCCTGAGTTCGATCCCCAATACTGATAAAAAAAAAAAAGAAAAAAATTAATTTTCTGATTTACTTATGTTAACGTCATGCAGAAACATTCTCATAGAGACACTTGGAAATCATTTTATTCTAATATTTGGGGCCCCTCATGTCAGTCAAGTTGACACATCTTAAGAAAGAAAATTACATAAAATATAAACATCACCATGTCTTTATCCAGCCTCATGCTAATAGATACAGTTGTTCCCAGTTTGGGGCAATTACTGATAGGACTGCTGTAGACCTTTATGCTAAAGCATTTTTAAGGGCAGAGCAGTTATTTCTCTCAGTTAAATGCCTGAGAGTGGACTGGTGGAATAGCACTGGACATTCATGCTTTTGGACCCATTGTCAAGCAGTTTTTCAATGTGGTTGTACAATTTTTGTACTCACCAGCAAGGTATGGATCCTAGTTTCTCTCAATATTTGGGAATGTCAATAATTTTAATTTTTGCTATTCTCATGATCATAAAATGGTATCATGTTGTTTTATTGCATTAACTTTCCATGAAAAATGATGTTAAGCGTATTTCTGTTGACTTATTTGTAATCTTAATTTTCTTCCATAAATATTTCATATGTAAGATTATTTATCAGATATATGTATTGTAAAATTCTTCCCAGTCGAGAGTTTGTTTTATCATTTGTTTTACTAGTTTTCTTTTGATGATCAGCTTTTAATTTTGAAGGTTAGTTTATATATTTTTCTCTTATGATTGCTCTTTGTATTCTAAGAAATTATTGCACATCATCAAAATATCCTAGCTTTTTCTATCCATTTTAAATGTTTACAATCTTGTATACAATACAATTTGTGTTTCAAGGCTGCTTATGCAAAAAGAGCAAGTGTAATACCTGTTTCTAAATCACTATTAGAAGCAAAACTCCCTTACACTGTTGGTTTTCATCAACTTACTGAGTTTGAATCAGATATCACTGTTGCTAAAAAGAGAAAAATATTGCATTTCTGAAGAGTAAATTGGAATGCTTATAAAACCTGTGATTGAAAGAGATTAACAAATGATGGATTTATAAGAGAATAATTTAGCAAATTATTGTGGTGTTCCAGGAAGCTTTTTAAATATCAACAGCATCTGTTATTGTTTTTAGAGGAAAAAAGATTTCTGAGGCATGACATATAATTATATTATGTCAAAACATTGTGCCCCCAAAGTTTCCTGTGAATAGATGATCAAGAAGACATATTTTAGTACAAATAACCCATTTTAGATCACAGATAACCCCCTCTTGCTTCTAAAGGATTCATATGGCTGAGAGCTCTACCAGATGGCTGATCTAAACAAGGAAAAGATTTCAACTCTCCCAGCTGTGACTTAGGCTTGTCACTGACATTCAGCAACATCTAGCTCTTAATAAAGAACTCTGAGTGTTAGAAGTCAGTGATACCTCTCTTTCTACAAAAGACCTAGCAGAGACGAGGCTCTTGGCTTATTTGGCAGATTAGTTTTGTTTAGCTATCAGAGTTTTTGATAAAATTTAAAATTTGGAACACTTCATGAAAATTTCACAACTCCAGCCTCTCTTTAATCTAGAAACACTAACTCTTTATTTGTGGCCAGCACTCGGGGTTATCGATCTCCTTCTCTAGTCCTTGTGATCTAGTCTTCCTCTCCATACATTAACCACCTCTCAGCTCCTGCTGCCATATGCATTTGCTTTCCCTAATTCCATTGATACCCAGTGTGAGTGGCCAATAATCAAATCAGGGAGCCTAACTCAGAGGTATAGATGGGATTATCAATTTCCAGAACTCATGCTACATCTCTGCATTATAATACAATTAGGTTAGTGGTTTAGAGTTCCCTGATTATTATTCCATTTCACTAAGTCAAAGACTCTGTTGATACAAAGAAATGTCATTATGCCAAGACTACTAAAATAAGAAAAACTAATAGTTCATGGACTATCAGGTGCATTATTATGGTGGAGACGTTAACATATGACAGACAGTGAATTTTAATAACAGTCAATAATGTTGCATATAGAAGTAGCACACATTAATGCCTTTTAGGTTACAATTCAATTTCAAGAGCTATAATTTCTATTACTTTGTAACCTCAATAGCTTCAGGCTTTTAACCTTACTCTCCTTAAGTGCCCTTCCATTCTAGCCTTGGGAAGATCTTTCTAGAAAAGAAATCTGATCATGACTCTCCTCTGTGTTCAATATGCCTATTCCTATGACAATGAAAAGGATCATTTCCTTAACATGCCACCTAAGACCATTCACCGATTTTCCCTTTCTTCTCAGGCATTAACGCCTCTTGTCTTCTGAATCACCTCCTCCAGTTTTCTGATAAACAAGTTTTTCATTATTCTTTAACTCAGCACGATTACAACCTGGCAAGAAACATTCTCCCCACAGCATAAATATCAGTCTTTCTATTCTGTACCAGACTCACTGGAAACTAGCTTGATCCGTAATATCATCTCATTAATGAGATTAAAGAGATCAATAGTGATCTCTCATTAATATCCCACGGCACAGGATTTTCTGGGCCAGAGCTTACAAAGACCCATCTCATAATTTGACTTCCCTTTTCATAGTTAAATTTTGCCTACAAAATGCTTAGAAAATTTAATGCCAGCTTTAAAAATAGGGACATTTAAAAAATCATGCCGAGAAATGCAAGAAAGGCTTTCTTAGATAACTACAAAATTGCCAGAAGCTGTGATGCTGCTTTATGAACACTCTATGAACACTGGACATGCTTTTTACATGTGTCACAGAATTAATGTCCTTTCATTCATTTATAATACATGCCTGGCCTCCAGGCATCAGAACTTGTAATTTGCATTATAGATTAGGAACTCCAGGAATTCAGGAAGCAATCCTAGTGACCTATGTCAGTAGGATTCAGCACAATGCTGCCTATATACATTTGAAGTTCAAGAAATATTTTTAAAATTAAATTAAACAATCTGATATGATAATTATAACAGACTGGCGAAGGGAAAGGCATTATAGCATTGAGCTGTAAATTAAAGTTTGAGAAATTAACATCTCATTCAAAAAGACACAACTGATAAGAAGTGGAGTTGAGACTAAATCCCTGCTGTATGTCTCAGCACTTCTCACTGAGACACACGGTTGGCTGGGGCTTTCTATCCATACAGGTCATGAAGCCTCAACAATTTTCAATTAGTACATTAATCACTAAATCCTCGGTATCCACACCGTTAAGGTCTGCTGCCAACTGCTTTGTATTACAGTTGATCGAGGGCACATGTATCCCCAGCACAACTGAAAAAGGAGTACATAGCAGGCTTGTGTTACTGGAGAATTAGAAAGAATCAAATAAACAACTACGCTTTACTTATTTTAATAGAACAATGACTTCAATTCTACATGAAAAAAGAAACAAAGAAAATAGAAGAAGACAGGAAAGGAGGGAGAATACATTGCAAAAGAAGGAAAAAGTGTATCAGAAATTCCACCATACCTACTGTTTTCCAGTTTATCAGCAGGATGTATTATGACAAAACTGCCAAAATCATGTTTCAAAGCTCTTTAGGATTTAAGATGTTAACTACATCATAAATGTACTTTCGTGCCCAGTCCCAGCCAACTCCCCTTTGGTAATATATTCAGCTGTTTGTTTCATAAAAGACAGAAGATTGGTCTTTATTGATGATGTTTTATCACAATTTAAGAATCAGGCTTTACAATTAGAAATAACATTGTTTTCTGGACAGTGCTGTTGGAAAGGCCCTGCATGGACTAATAGGGGAAATTGATATTTCTGGCTTACCCCCCCCCCCCAAAAGCAAACTGATGTCTCCTTAGGTAATGGAGTTTATCTGGGAATTAGGAACTGTTCTGCATAGTTATATGCAGCAGTCGTCTCTAAAAGAGTTGATGCTCTATAAAAAGTATTTTGTGAAACTCATTTCACTCGTTCCAGAAAATAAGAATCATATCTGAGATTTAATTATCTGACAGTTTCTAGGATGGCAGAGAGATACTGCACAGCCACGTGGATGATAAAGAATTGTGACGCAGCCAGCCATACATGCTGCCAACTTGAAATCTGAATATGGTAAGTTGAATCACTTTTTTAGATTATTACTTAGTAAGCCATTTTGTGTCACAAAGAAAAAGCATACTTCTGCCTGGTGTATTTACAGATTAAGCAATATACTAACATGAACCAACCATCACATATTACAGTTAGCTTCTTGCCATACATAAGAGTTCAAGGTATAAAGAGGTTGAGTAACTTGTGTAATCAAGTGCTTCGGTGGCTTCTGCAAGTGGAACAAATCTGTCCTTCTTTCTTAGGAACCTGTCTGTGCATACTCAATTCTTAATCCATTTTATACTTTCAAAAAACATATTAATTTATTGGGTTTTAATATTCTGAATTTATTGTAAAAGAAAACACAAAACTTGCATTCAAACAACATAGGGCCCCTTGTTCACAGTTTATTGAGAGTTTTGATATGGCCATAATAAAGTACTGACCCAAGTGCAGAGCGCTCTGTACACAGAAACCCTCAGGACTGTGCCATGTCTCGTGCTCATGGAGCTTGGTCAGAGGCAAATCATTTGGGCTCCTTGACTATAAGATCACTGACCTGCAAAAGTGATCTAATCACACGGCCTCCTCCTCATGTAATCATTTGAAGAATCACATAAAATACATTAAAACTCTAAGTAGGCTCTAAAACACTTCATAAATACAAACTTGCATTACAGTTAATAGCTGATGCACATGGTCTGCCTTTACTTAAAAGATGTTATAAAACACTTCCTGGGACAAAAATTAAAGTGAATGAGCATTGGCTATTTCCCTAAGAAAATCCAAAATCTTTCTTATAGTAATAGGCTTTATCACGACTTTGTACCATTTGTGTACTTAGAGAACTTGACAATAGCACACTTCTCAACACAAGAATCCTCTAAATAGAACTACGTAAGCACAACAATGATGTCTTAAATGTATGTAAAACAACTGAAAGCTGATTTCAGTTTTTGATTCATCTAGTCCCTTGATAGGCCCACCCCAACTCACAAGCTTCCCCTTTTAGCTCTTGGATAGAAATCTGCCTTGTACTTTTTTTCTAGTCAAATGCATAGGCAGATTTATTTTAACTCATGATATCACTGTTTTCAAGAGGAAAGAAATCTTAAGGTCTCTTCAATTTGGAGCTCTTCTTGACAGGATTTATTAAACCTGTGAAAGGAAAAGGAGGTTTCTGTTTCATTTTGTGTTTTAATACCTCTTTAGCAGTTTCTCTGCATTTGACTTTTGAATCAAAAAGGAGTGAAGCTTGACTCAGCTACAAATTTCAAAGTGAATTCCTTTTTTGCTTTTAAAATATACTATGCTCATGCCCACATCTGCCAAAGTGAAACCCATTAACCTGTAAAACTAATATTTGCTATTTAAACAATGTGAACAAAAAAGAAAAATAAACTTGATAGTCTCTGAGCAGGGTATGTACCATAAAAGAAATAGGATCTAATTACAAAAACAAATGACTTTCCATTTTGAGTATGAAAACAAAATACTGTATCTTCATTTAGGTTCAGATTCTGTTCTCATTCAGTTTTCTAGAGACTATTTAAAGAGCTACAGAACACATTGAAATATGACTATTCTTATGCGTGAAAATGTAATATTAATTGACATTATAGATTCTCTTTCCCCAGTGATTTATCAATGCCAAGTAAACACTGAGACACTACAGTTTCCAGGTTTTTGCCCTTGTGATAATATAAACATAACCTAACATGGCAAAACTTTGGAAAAACGAAGTAATTTAAACAAATAATGAGGTCCTCACAAACACGGGCCCATCTGTGACTGCAGAGATTTCTCCGTGAATCTTCATGCTATTACTTTACGTAAGGGTCTGTCCTCAGAGCTGGAGGAAGAGCAGTCAACATCTACCAGAAGCCCAGAATTAAAAGAAAATGTCACCTCAGGTCCCCTAACATTTAGAGAAAAAGAATTAAAAAATCAACAAACAAAAAAGAGGTTACACTCAAAGTTTGTTTCCAAAGGTCAGCTTGAGCCTCCTGAGTAAAAGTCAGGATTGGGACTCCCTGGTAGCAATCACACAGAACCCCAAACTGAAACCAAAGCGGGCTGCAGAAAAGGACATGAGGTAATCCTTTTTCTTCCCTAGGGGAATGGTGACATCCCTGCGCTTTTCCTGTGGAATGGCATTGGCCAAAGGAAGCTTGGAAAAAGGATTAGAGCATTAGAACACAAGCCAGGGCTTTAATGTGTTTAGAAGTCATTGGAAATCCCTTAGGATAATGTTAATTTCCTCTTTATCATTAATGTTTGCTTGGAGTCATGAAATGATTTGAGTTGTCCTAAAATGTAATCTTGAATAGATATGTAGTGTTATATTCTGTCTCCTGCATTAATTAGAAATGGCAGCAAATTACTGCCTAATGAGTTAAAATGACATCAAAAGGTCTTGTCGACCTCTTTCATTTCATTCCTGAGTTTCTGACCTGCCTCCTGAAGAAGACAGGGGCACGTGTAACTTACACAAAGTAAGGATACTGCGTCTGGCACTGCAGGCTTTTGAGAACACTTGGGGAGAGATCAAATGATCCAGTAGAAGATGCAAGCAGATTAGGGAATTCTGAGCCTCTTCAGCAAAGTATTGGAATATTTGTCTAAACATTACCAAACCGAAAATGAGTTTTTTTCCACACTGACATTTATTCAGCTCCTTCTACATACCTTAAGAAGAGAAAGAAAAAGGAATTAGTTTGAATCTACAAGGAAAAGAGACAAGAGTGAAGTTACAGTTTATGTACAAAAAAATACAGATCATAATTTCCAACAACTAAACTGATCTGAAGACTAAATTAGTTTATACGCAAGACTCTAGCACATTGCCAGGCACATAAACAGAGATGAATGGATTTTAATTTCCTTCTTTCTTCCTCCCTTTAACTGATTTCAGAATTCTAAGTGAAGGTTGAAGGCTAGCCTAATCAAAGACTCATTAATAAAGGAGTTTACCCCTGTTCTGTTCATCACCTATGTTGTCAATGTTTTGAATTAATCTGAATGAATCAATGCTCATTAAACTGCACAACTAAAGACAGCATGAAATTACACCAGCTTGCTACTCTCCCCCTAATCATTTGAAAAGTTAACACTAGCAAAAGTTTCTAATTATCTCTGCAAACATGATTTTTTGTTTAACAATTTTGAGAACAATTACCATTTTTCTTCTTGAAGAACTCTAACTGAAACTTCACCCAAATGTATATACATTTCACTAAAGCACAGAAGAATTCCCCAGCTCTTATGCTTTGTTTGTATCTGGATGTCTCCCAGAAGCTTCATGTGGTCATGGTGGGGCTGGCTTTTCAGAGGGGCTGAATCTAGAGTTTGAGACTGATTCATGCTCCAATGCTGGGATTAAGGGTGTGAGCACTACACCCATTCTAGGGCAGGTAGCCTGAATATGCAATATAAGGGCTGGAAAGAGGCTTGCTTCTCCCTTCTCTCTTGTTGCTTTTGGTGTCTTCCGCCACCGTGAACGGTTGCCCCTCTACCATGCCCCTCTGCCTTGGAACTAGCCGACTGTGGACTGAAATCTACAAACTGTGAGCTAAATAAACCTTTTCCCCTTTAACTTTCAGGGTTGAATATTTTGTCTCAGCAACAAGAGAAAAGTAACTAAGACACTAGCCAATCCAACAATAAAACAAAGTTTCTGGAACAGAAACAGTTATGTGGAGCTATGACATCTGATCCATTAGTCATAATGTTTCATGGTCACATTGCCTTGTCTTTGATATTTCTCTAACATCATCCATTTGAGTCCAGAGACTTGTTTCTAGAAACCCCAAAACCTTTCGCAAAAAAGAATTCAAGGAAACCTCCAGATATTCTGAGCTACAGGAAATATGAAAAATATGAAGAGATCAGGCTATTAAGAACACAATAATAATTAGCCCTCAATGAGCAGTTACTGGAGACCAGGCATTGTGTTTTACATGCATTACATCATTTCTTTCTTAGAAATACTTTATAACCAGATATTTAACTGCTCGTGAAAATAACAAAGCCTACAAAAGTTACTCACTTGCTCAATATTGTTTGATGGACATATATTTGTGACCTGAACCTTGTTCTCTCCAGAGTAAGAGGCCATGCTATAACCACTAGCTTATCTGTGATCCCTCAGACCAGATCTCCTGAAAGATCTTTCATCTCCCCTTGAATCTCCGTGTCCAGGTGCACGAGAAGCACTTGTGTCATGTACCAGGCTGCATTACCTTGAAATGGGGGTATTCCTGTAAAAAATTTTGTCTCTCTGTGTGTAAACTCATAATTAGAAAAATCAAGAAATTCAGTTGGCTTTAAAGAGACAAAGCTCGGTGTGGTAGCACATGCCCATAACCCTAGCACTTAGGAGGCTGAGACAGGAGGATTGCTGTGAGTTCGAGATTAGCTGGGCTACAAAGAAAGCTCAAGGACAGCCTGAACTGCATAGTGAGACCTTGTCTCAAAAAGCACCAAGAAAATATAAATATTAGTATTTCTAAGGCAGAAAAACATTTGACATATTTAGTTCTTTGACTTTAAAATTGCTAACTTTTAATCTAGTTTTCCCAGTATACTAAAAGAGTTGGGAGATAAATACACCTTAAAACAAGCAAACAACAACAACAAAAAAAACCCTACGAAATTGCAGTGACACAGTCACATCTCACTGCAACAGACAGAAGACTGACTGACAAATTATCCACATCAATTCTCTATGGGAATAACACCCAAAAAAGAAAACAAACCTGCTTTCTATAATTTTTATGATTGTTGGGCTTTGAAAAACTCCTCAAGAAAAGCAGAGAATTCTTCCACTTTATTTTGAACACCAGCTCTGCTACACGAGGAGCCAGCTCTGTGCAGCCTGGACACCGTATCCCCCTCACACCTGTGGGAGATCACAGACTGCCCACGATACAGGGTCCTGAGCCATTACATGGGCTTCGCACCCTCTCTTGAACTCTTTCTTTCTAGAAAATATGAGGTCCATCGACATGATACCTATTTAGTGTCTTTCCATATAAACACCAATTTTTCTTCAAACAGAAAGCCAGGAGGGCCAAGAAAAGCTGTAAAGTTTGCCAATCCCACACTCTCTCAGCAAGTCTTCCCCCGAAAAAGAGCTATGCAGGAGGTGACTGCCACAAGGCAGCAGGCAGCCCACTCCATCAGCCGATTTTAGAGAATCTGAGGAAGAGGAACTAGGGTTATTTTTTCTTTTGCTGGGGACATAATAATAATTTTATGCCAGCTAAACTGTTGCTGTGCCTTTTTGCAATAAAAAGTGGGCAGAAGGAGGTTATAAGAAAGGGAACTGGGGTGTTTTTACATTCCCCCAGGCATGCTTTGACTATAGAAGATTAAAGACATCAGATTCTCTAATCTCTTTCCCTCTGCATCTAAATCCCACTATTTAAATTCAACTGCTTCACATTGGCATCCCTAGAATAGGTATGTGTGAGAGCTGTCACAGGTCTGTGAGAAAGATGCTCAGTACTGCTGTCAGATAAATGTAGCTAAGGGGACTTGCCACATCCCCATCACAGAAAACTAGACACAGCTTCTCAAAGGAATGAAAATGTATGTCTTACAAGCTAGAAAAGAAAAATATGCAATCATTTATTATGGTTGAACTAATACTAAAAGACCAACTACTTTTTATAGTTCACTGCACTTTTAAGGAATATGTCAGAATACATTCTTAATCTTAAAATTACACTGTATTCAGTAGATGGTTTACCAATGCACAGAAAAGATACTAGCTATCCAGCAAGTGATACTAGCTATCACTGCTGCAGAGTCCCTGTGTACCATGTGCAAAGGTTAACATTAATGCATACACGACTCCAAGCCACCTTCCACACTGCTATCAAAGCAGACTGAGCTGTCTTTGTCATTCTTTTTATAAAATCTTTCAATAACCCTCTATTGTCAATGGATAAAATCCAAATTCTTTAGCATGATATCGGCCATCTATACATTGGCTCTTGTCTACTTTGCCATTAAACCCAGTAAACAATTTCAAATCTTACTGCACTTCAGAAACTCACTAGTGGCTCACTTACTATGTAAGGCAATACTATTTATATATATGAAAAACATACTTACACAGAAAATGCTTCTTTTGGCAGTTCTGGGGGTGAAACACAAGGCCTTATGCAAGCTAGACAAATGCTCTCCCTCTGAGCCACATATTCAGCAGCACTTTATTTTATAATGATGTATTTATTTCCAAGGAAATCACCCAGGATGTTAGAGTAAATGTTTACAGGGGCTGGAGGGTGGGGTGATTGACTGGGGAATAGAGAGGAACAAAACAGTAAAACCAGAGCAACCTTACAGAGCTTGGGATACAGGATGTGAGGACTCAGGAGCATGGTTATCTCAACCATACACCCAAAACAATGAAGATGAACATGTCTTCTTAGGTTTCACAGAATGTATGTACCAAAAAGGGCTATATTAGAAAAATTATTGGGAAGCACTCTTCCGGTCAAGACAACATAACATAAAAGACTATATTTTGCCTTCTACTTATTTCCTTTAGAAGTTACTGGTTAATTTTTCTTAAGCATATATGACATTGAATGTTTTATTTCCCTGTAAGCCAAAGTATGAGCACAACCAGCATACTATATCAATGCCTCCTTTCACCTGCAGATGACAGCAAGAACACCACTGTGGCCACAAACAGACACTTCAGACCTGGAAAACTCAACTCAGGAAAAGAAAGTTTAAATGGAAGAAATAGCTAATGCCTCGGTCCAGCAAGAGGAAGATCAGCTTCCACTAAGTGGCTCATGAGCAGAGTCAGTGCAGAACTCACTCCTTGATTTGGCTTTAGCTTTAATAAGACTTTATGGAGATAGTTAAATGCCACAAAAAATTAGCATACATTCTGCCCACGAATGATCAAGACCAGTACTGACCTTAGACCTGGAAGAGTCCTACCTCAAGTGCATACTTGAGACCCAGTTCAAAGACTGTCCTCACCTACAATCCTCTGCCTAGACAAAATGGAAAAGACCATGCATAATACATTTAATTTGGTGTAGATGCTTAATGATAATAGAATATCCTCAAGTTAAAGACTCCTGAGAGGTTAATCTGAGTCCCCTCCGTAAGCTGTGAAGTCATGGTTGTGATACAGTGTTGTATGTAGTTGTATCAGTGTATCACTTTTGTGTGTAGTTGGTATTTTATTTTTTATTTTTTGAACCCTCTAAGAACCTTAGGTTCAAAAGCCAGGTCTTAGTCATTTATGTCTCCAGCATGGACAGACCGTGGCACTTAGGAAGAATTTATTATGTATAAACGTATAAAGAATTTATTACGTATTTATTAGTATAATAAACTAATATAACCACAATATGTGGTTATATTACCACATATAACCACAATATGTGCAAATGGAAAGCAAATCTCAATTACTGTTTTCTCATTTATAATTAAACAAATGTTACTTTTAATTATAGAATATCTAATTTTGCTTTTTCTGTCAAGTAAATAAGGAGGTTTCATTTTAATACTACAGAAGTACTTCTACTGTGTTCAGTATTTGGAGCTAGAGTTCAGATCATAAGCTATTATTTTCTACTGCATAAATAATTCTAGGAGCATTGTACATAACTGACTTTTTCTAAAACCTGAGTCAACTAATTGAGCATATCTAAATTATATCCTGTTTTTCCATTACACTAAATTTCAACTCCAGAGAAGCTCTGATGTCATTTTGGATTGATTTTCAAAGATGATTGCTCCCAATATTAAGTTTTAAATTTTATCAGAAGATTTTGTAGCCTCTAGGTAAATACCTATAATAAGGATATTTACAGTAAAGACAACAGGTATTTTAAAGGACAATGTTATATTCTCCCATAATTCAAATAGTCTGCATTTCTTGTCATCTCCTCCTATGAGCTTTATATATTTGAACTTTTAATCATAGGTTTTCAAAATTGAGGTACATCTACCTTTTATTAGAAAATGGGTACATTTAAATATATTAATCAGTTTTGATACATTTATAAGGTAACCTTTTGATCTTAAGGATCTTAGGTCTTTTCCAAATAATGTTCAATTCACAAATAAACATAACTTAGACACTGAGAATATAGCATATCTATACAAAATTCTTTAAAATTTCCTCTCAGTCCAAAGCCAATGGTAGTTTAAAAGTATGAAGAGTCCAGAGCTTTTCAGTGAGAATGTTTACCTTTCAGCAAGCATCCTCATCTAATTAAAATGCCAGCACACTAATCATATCAAAAGCTCTTCAGAATAAATGCTTCTTAATAAACCAGACTTGCATGTGTAAACACTGTATCATCTCCCTAGGGTAAAAACCTGCAAGAGTAAATAAGATCCAAAATGTACAATACCTACTGTGAAAGTAAAAGGGGGTAAGATTACTCAAAAGGAAAAAACAACTGGGATGGGGAAAGGAGAAAAGAGAGAAGGGAAAAGAATATATATATGCACACACACAAGATGGATAACTATATTACTAATCTTTATTAGTTCATTGAAAAGAATGGTTAGTGGTTTCACTGATCAATTTTTCATGCCTGTATCTTGTTATCTGAGCTATTACTTTGAAGATAATCATACATAATATAGTAACCATTGTTAATCTATTGTGTTGTTTTGAAATTCTGTATCATTTTTGTTCTTTTTCCTTTTTTAAAAAAAGAATAAATATTCCTTAACTGAATAAAGAAATATCATTTTCATATGAATATGGACTAATCATAACCTTTCTGCAAATAAATTAGATAACAAATGAGTGATAGAAAAATGCAAATATGCAAAAAAAATTACAATGGTTTACACTTGTCCAATCGTAAATATTAAAAATAAATCTAAGTCTTAAATGTAATCAGTTAATGCATAAGTAAGTTTCAGAGCCCGGTTTAAAAAAAAAGATTTGCACTATGGTGATGGAGGGGAGGGCATAAGAACACCATTTTGCACAAGGGAATTATTCTCTGAATTGAGGAAATTCAATTCATTTGTATATTTTATCCTTCCCAAAAGACACTCTTGTGAGGACTGTATTTATCAAAAAATTCTTCTTCCTGTTTGGTCCTCTCTCATATTCACTTCTATGGAAAATAATAACTTAATACTTTGAAGGGCCCCTCAGTGTACAATTCTAGATGCAATACAGATAAGATGGTTCCTTTAGTCAACCCAGGCTAAGAGTTTCATCAACATTCATGTGACAACAGGTCAGAAATTATCACAAGAATCATAATTTGTAAGTTCCTATCACTTGAAGGCAACTAATATACATATTTATGATCATTATGACTGTTCAGTTTTCTCTATTAATTATGTTGAGTCGTTCTTGCAAAAGTCTTTTGTTGTCACTTCTCCATAAATAATCTTTTCAACTATGACTAGGAAGAGATGTTGCCTGAAGATACACAAAAGCGAATCACATTGGTAGTCGAGTTATCTACAAATGAGCCACCCCCTTACAAGTAACACCTGAGCAGAACTGATTTATTTTAAAATAGTAAGCCACAAAGCCACTAAAATCTTTTCTAATGCATCAGCTTCAATTATAGGTCAGTTCCAACTGTAATTTGCAAATTACAAATTTTCCTAATGACACATAAAAGCTCAGATCTAAAAATTATGTTCACTGAGTTTATGAATACATCAATAGAGATATTTTAATACTCTTTGTTGCTCAAAGTTTCATTTTTCTCAGTAACGACCTGTCATAGTTTTATGTGTAAGTAACTAAATCATAACAGTTGCAATTACATATGCATATAGCTCTTAGGACACATTAAAAAGTGATGTTAGAATAACTTCATTTGATCCTGATTTCTATATTCACAATTCTATATTTTTTATAAGATTTTTCTCAAGTTAATTTAAAATAAGTTGCAAAAGTTTAAAATGGGTCAGCTTACTGAGGTTTGCAATTTCAATGAAACGCTCAGAGGAATTTTAAAAATCTCATTTATTCAGTTAAAAAGTCAACTATTAGCAGAAAGCCAAAATCCCAAATAAACATGCTCTTGCCACATGAAAAAAGAAGAGAGTTCCCAAATAAACAACTTATTATTGCATGCAGGGAGCTAGAAAAACAAGAAGAAGCCTAACTCCAAATTAATAGAAAGGAAATAATAAAGAGCAGAGCAGAAATAAATGAGAGATTTAAAAATTACAAAAGATCTATATTTAAAACCTGATTTTACAACACAACAAACAAAATAGATAAACTCTTAGCTAGAATGATTGAAAAAGAGGGAGCAAAAAACCTCAAAAGCACAGATGAAAAAAGAGACATCACATATGACAAAATAAAATAGATAATTAGAGGATATCATAAACAATTCTGTGCTATCAGATTTGATAATCCAGAAGGAATGGAAATATTCTGGGTATATACACCTTACCAAAATTGTATGATGAAGATCAAAAACCTCTACAGTAACAAGGTTCTTCTAGTAATTAAAAAATAATCCTGAAGAGTCCAGGATCAGGTGGCTTCATGGCTTCACTGCTGACATCTGCCAAACATTCAAATAAGAACTAATAGCAATTTGTACTAAGTTACTGCACAAAACAGAAAAGAAAGATATTCTTCCAAACACATTCTATGAGGTCAGCATTATTTTTGTACCGAAACCAGCTACTGACACAACCAAATTAAACAAACACACAAACAACTAAAGGTCAATAACCTCAATGAACATAAATGCAAAAGTTCTCAATAAAATGCTAAGAAACTGAATCTAATAGACATTAAAGGGCATTCAATTTGTAAAAATTTTGCGGTAGACAAATTTTAGTTGAATAGGCTGTTATTTTGGGGTTTTCTGAAGTATATTCAGCAAGATCAAGTGAGATTCATCCAGGGATACAAAGGCAGTTCAACATACTGTATTTGAGTCAATAAAAGTGATATATCACTTCAGAACACACAAGGATTTGATAGTGTTCAACATCCCATTGTGATAAAAACATTGAACAAATTAGATCAGGAAAGAATAGACTCAACGTAATAAGGGCTTTATAATAAGCTAACACTAATATTCTCCTGAATGGGGAAAAACTGAAGTCTTTCTCTCTAAGCCCTGGAACTGTGAGAGAGTGGGTGCTCGCACGGTCCTGGGAGGCCTCGCCAGAGCAGCCAGGCAAGACAAAGGAAGGGCACTCATGCAGCAAAGCAGAAGACCACAGTGTCATGTCCAGAGATCGTGTTCTTGCACAGAGAAAACCCAAAGGGTTCCATCAAAGAATTACAAAAAACAATTTTAGCAAAGATTCGGGAGACAAAATCAACATATAAAAAGTTAGCACTGCTGTAAGCCAACGGCAGTAAAAATGAAAAAGCAACCTCATTACAATAGGTACAAAAAATGAGATATCTAGTAATAAACGTAACCAATGAAGGGAAAGGTCTCTATAATAGAAATTCCAAAACACTGATGAAAGAAATAGAAGAGGACATCAAAAAGTAGAAAGACAGCCAGATGCAGGGGCACACACTTGCAATCTCAGCACCCCAGGAGGCTCAGCCTGGAGGATGGCAAGTTTGAGCCCAGGCTGCACAGTTTAGTAACTTAGCAAGGTCCTATCTCAAGATAAAAATACGTAGCTTGGTGGTAATGCATATTTGTGTTCCATTTACAGTACCAATAAATAAATAATAAAGATAGGTAGATAGATAGATAGTTAATGGAAACACACTTCATTTTCATGGGTTGAAAGAATCTAATTGTTAAAATGTCCATCTTACCCAAAATGATCTACAGATTCGATGTAGTCTTTATCAAAATGCCAGTGACTGGTATTTTTTTGTTGTTGTTTGTTACAGAACTAGCAGAAACAATCATGAAATTTGTATGAGACCATTAAAAACAGCAAATAGTCAAAAATATCTTAAACAAACAAGGAGGCACTTCACCACCTGACTTCAAACTATACCACAAAGTTATCATAATCAAAACTATATAGTACTGGCATAAATACAGACACACAGATCAATGGAATAGAATACAGAACCTAGAAGCAAACCCACAAATCTGCAGCTCACAAATTTTCAACAAAGGAGTTAAGAACACATACTGGAGAAAGGATATAGTCTTTTAGATAAATGGAAAGGGGAAAACTGGATGTTCACATGCAGAAGAATGAAACTGGGCCCTTAACCCTCACCAATTATAAAAATTATTTTATAATGAAGTAAAAGTTAAAAATATAATACAAGAAACTAGGAAACTACTACAAAAATAGGGTAAATGCTTCAGAATATTGGAATAAGCAAGGACTTTTTGACATGACATCAAAAACACAGGAAAAAATTAAAATTAGACATGCAAATTAAAAATAGATATGTAAATAGGATTACATCAACTAAAAAATGTATGCACAACAAAAGAAATAATC